GCCGGTCGCGATCGTGTTAGATCGAAACACTAGGTTCACCTCACAAATTTAGCACAACATTCCTTTCCCACACCTATGCCATTTGAGGTGGGTTCCCTATTTGGTCACATCTCGAGGCTCTACAGAGGAGAGTAACATCCTTTTACCGAAAAGAAAAAAAATTAATTTATAACGCTAAACTTTGACGGTTGTATCAGTTAAAACCCTAAAATTTTGTAAGTATACCCATTTACACGTGTTGTCGAATTTCATTTACCATTCATTTACAAAATGGTAGTTTACATATGTGCAAACTTATAATTCTATCAATTAATGTAACGGCCCAAATCCACCACTAATAAATATTGTCAATCTATTCTTCGTCTTTATTCCAATTATATGTCAGAGAAGATAGTTTGCTGCAAGGAGTGCATGTTGTCTCTATTGTGTTAGATCGAGACACCATACACCAGGTTCATCTCACAATTTTGGAAAGGTTTTCCAGAGGGGGTTAAAAACGCAACTCAAATTTAGCACGACATTCCTTTCCCACCCTGATGTCGTTCGAGGTGGGTCCCTATTTCGTCACGTCCCGAGTTGGGTGTGTTTTTTTTGTAATTGAAAATGGGGAAATGGAAGTAAGAATACAAAATGATGAAAGAGATAAAGGGCAAGATGGGTGTGTTTTTTTTTTTTTATCCTTGAGTTACCATTAACAATAGTTGAATAAGGTATGGAGAGTGACAAGTGCTTGATATCCTCTAATTTATGCTTCTTCTTGCTTATGCCTTTAGCACATGCTATCTCTGCAGAACATGTCCTGCTTCCTGTTTACAACAAATATTACAACCTTCATTCAATTGTTTTTTCTCTCATCATCATGTTTCCTTACCCTACCATTAACTTCTCTCTCCTTCTTTCTCTCTCTTGTTCTTGTTCTTTCAAATTATCTCTTTTTTGTATGCAAATAAACATGATGGTCTGTTTCCCTTGATGAGTCTCAATCTTCACAATTAGTACCCCATTCCCCACCATTCTTTTAAAAATTTGGAGTATGTGAGGGTAGATGGCTTGAAGGGAATAAAAACATCGGTAAAAAACTTGAGAAATATCCTCACTTGGATCGAGTCCCATTATGTTTTGCTTTGGAATGCTCAAAGGGCTCAACTTGGCAGCTGTTGTCTTCAAAGACATAGGCATATGGGCTATGAAAACTCATCAAAGAAAGCCACAAGACATACATAATAACTTGAAAACAAATAGAAATCTGGTCAATGAATTGAAATTACCCTAGATTTAGGGGTTTTTTTTTGGGTTTCTCGGGTCCAAGCCCACTTCCAGTAGATAGGATTCTTTTTGGACTTTCCTTTTTGGACTTCCCCTTAAAATTTTTAAAACGTCTTGTAGGGAGAGGATTCTACACCTTTGTAAAGAATGATTTGTTCATTTTTCTAATTGATGTGGGATCTCACAATACACTGGGCGGTGTGTCAGCGAAGACATTAGACCTCGAAGGGGGTGGATTGTGAGATTCCACATCAATTGGAGAGAGGAATGAGTGTTAGCGAAGACATTGGGTTTCGAAGGGAGTGGATTATGAGGCTTCCACACCCTTATAAAAAAATGTTTTGTTCCTCTTTCCAATCGATGTGGGATCTCATAATACACTAGACGGTGTGTCAACGAAGATGTTGGGTCCCGAAGAGAGGTGGATTGTGAGATCCCACATCGATTGGAGAGAGGAACGAGTGTTAGCGAAGACGTTGGATCCCAAAGGGGATGAATTGTGATATCCCACATCGATTGGAGAGAAGAACGAGTGTCAGTGAGAACGTTGGATCCCGAAGGGGATGGATTGTGAGATCCCACATTGATTAGAAGAGCGAGTGTCAGCGAGGACGTTAGACCTCCAAGGAGGTGGATTGTGAGATCCCACATCGATTGAAAAGAAGAACGAGTGTCAACGAGAATGTTAGACCCTGAAAGAGGGTGAACTGTGAGATGTCACATTGGTTGGAGAGGGGAACAAAACATTTTTTGCCAGGGCGTGGAAACCTCTCCCTAGTAGATGTAGTTTAAAAACCTTGAAGGAAAGTCCGAAAGTAAAAATCCAGATAGACAATATCTACTAACGGTGAGTTTGGGCAGTTACACTTTGACATCCATAATTCTTCTCTCACTAATTCACCATCTTATCTCATCATTTGCTTATACCGACAAGCAACAGGTAGCTACCAAATTGAAAGCAAAACAAGGCCCATTCATGATAATTAAACGAAGCATCAGAGAAAGCCATGATATCAAAACACATATAGAAGGAGACCCTTTGAAAGACACACTTTGTGATATCAATTTTTAGGCATTGCCCAAAAAATGAGACTCAGCTGCCACTGCCACTGCCAGCCGACACTGAAAACCACTCATTTTGCCCTTAAAAGCTTCAATTTCATCTACTCTCTCTTTCACTTTCGGACCATTTAATTTGATAGGGTAATGAGGCTGAATCCCCCACCTTCTAGGGTTTTTGGACACTGTCCTTTTTGGATCCGCCTCACATAATGTAAACATGATGGTAAAGTTCAACATCCCCTAATTCATATATTTGAGGTTAATTCTAATTTGGAAATTATTCCTTTTATGATTCCAATTGGGGTACCCTACAAATGAAAGGGAAGGTTGTCCATATAGTTTCACAATTGTAACTATTCTCTTGTTAGGTCTCTTAACGTAATGTTGCACCTATGTCGGTTAAGTCTTCGTACCTTAATAACATTTCAGTACACCATTTGCTAGCAAAAACCTAAATCTACCAATTCCCTAGCCCTACAATCTCGTAATTCTAATAGAGGATCTTTGTCGGTAAATCCATTAATTTAAATTTTGTATATAATAAATCACTGTTCTTAGTTCCCTCCGCTAAACATTTATGCTACCCTAATGGCCTAAATCTACTTAGATCCCACACGAGACCATCTTCTATCTTTTAACTAACACAATCAACTTACTATGTTGGTATTAAATAAGATCTGTCATATTATCCTTTTTGGAGTTTACCTTTCAAGCTTTCTTCAAAGTTTTTAAAATGCGATTGCTAGTAAGAGGTTTCCATGCCCTTATAAATAATGTTTCGTTCTTCTCCCTAACCGATGTGAGATCTCACAATCCACCTCCCTTCAGGGCCCATAATCCTCAATGACACTTGTTCCCTTCTCCAATCGATGTGGGACCTAGATTTTTTGGGTTTTCTCTCTCGAACTTCCCCTCAAAGTTTTTACCATGCATATGTTAGGGAGAGATTTCCACATTCTTATAAAAAATATTTCGTTCTCCTCCTAAAACGATGTGGGATCTCACCGTTTAAATTACGAAAGTCAACTATTTGACACAATCTTCGAAGTTTAGAGACTAATTACGAGCTTTTCAAAGAAAAGGAATTGAATAAGAAGAGGGTTTTTGATAGCATCCTTAACATTTGAATTGAATCATTTTGAGGTTAAACACAACCAAAGATGTGTGATGATTTAGTGGGGAAAACGAAAGAGGTAGAAGGTTTGGGAGATGGGGTTGAAGCCGACACCGACAAGGACAAGGACAAGTCCTACAATAATAAAAAGAAAGAGAAAGGTGGGCCTCGTGAAGGGGTGAAGAAGATGAGATAATAAGGGTAGGGGGAGGCATTGTTGGGTGATTTGGAGGGTAAGTGAGAGACCCAAAAACAAGTGGGAATGTGTGATATTTGTACTTGTTCATTGATGATCATGTTATTCAAAACCATGTGGGTTTCACATGATTGGCACGAGCTGGCTAGGTTTTTGGTTATGTCGTGTTTCTTGTTCTTAAATGTTTTGTACTCCTAGTAGTTGCCTTTCTTTCTCTCCATTTTTAACTCTCTCTGTCCCCCATTAATGGCAGATTGAGGAACTTCACTGCCAAACCTCTGAGCCACCTTATTCTCATCCATCGCTTTACATGTCTTTTCTTCTTCTTTTTTCTTCGATATCGTTAAAAATATCTAATAAATTCTTGAAAATCTTGTACGAGAGTTTAGTCTGTAATAGAACTCTAAGCCTTCTTTTTTTTTAACGAGAGTTGAACATGTCATAGTTCTATTAGACAGAAAATTTAAGAGGTGAATTCTCGATGGAATTAGGAGAGTTGGCTAGGAGGCTGATCCAAGCCTTCTCCAAGTAGAATTCGTATTTCGGGTGAGTCTCGAAAACTTATTCTAATTGAAACTCTCAGCTATCAATGATTTGAGTTTCCTTGTTCAAATCAATATTTATGTTAGGCTTCCCACCTCTGAATTCAAATCCACTCGCAATGAGAATCCCAAATCGAATTTTTTGAATAACATATTGAGAGATAATTGGATTTGTACCAATTGTTTATACACAATGGCTTGAGCGAATCCGACATTCTTTCCGTTGAAAATTGTGATATTCCACATTGGTTAGGGAGGAGAACGAGAACCTTTCCCTAGCAAATGCGTTTTAAACCCTTGAGGGGATGCTTGAAAGGGAAAGCTCAAAGATGACAATATATGCGGTGGACTTGAGCCGTTACAAATGGTATAAGAGCAAAATATCGGACAATGTGCCAGCGAAAAGGCTGTTCTCCAAAGGGGTAGACACGAGGCGGTGTGCCAATAAGGACGCAGGGCTTAAAAGGAGGTGGATTTAACGGAGGTTCCACATCGATTGGAGAAAGGAACGAGTGTGACAGCGAGGACATTGGGCCCAAAGAGGACAAAAGAGGTAAATAATCACAAGTCACTTTTAAATTCTTTGACACTTGTTAGTAATAAAACCTTTGACTTTTGTATTCGTGTGACGGAATGATAAGAAAATTTTTAATTTATTTGAAACGGGTAAAATGATGTATTATTGAATTTCTTATATTTATAATTTTATAGAAATATCTATCGACATTAATATTGACATCGATCAATTCATAATTTAATATTTTTTCATTAATGTATGGTTTTGCAGATCATATTACTTAAAAAATTTTAACATTTCTTCATGGCCCAGCCCAAATTGCTGCTTCTTGGTTTGGATCACTTCAAATTTTTGGACCAATGGACCAATTTTTGGTGTAACGCTTACCAAATAAGCGGATTTGATCAGCTGATGATCCTAGCTTTTGTTTCAATATACCAAGATCTTGTGGCTCCATCCCTGTGGGCTGAAGTTGATTTTCCAATAGCCGCCGCCGCTCGCCTCTCGCCGCCCGCCGCTTGCCGCCGCACCTCCGCCATGGCCTCCCCCTACGATCCCACTTCTCGGTCAGTCTTTGCAAATTCCTTCTCTGTTTTCTCATAGATGTTCGATTCATGTTCATTCGCATTAACATCGCTTATTGTTGAAAAAGGGAGGCGTTTCCTAAGAAGAAATCAGCCCCATTCAAGTTCTTGGTTCCTCTCATCTATGCCCCTGTTCTTCCTCTCAGTAAGTTTAATTTTCTGGGTTTCTCTTTTTTTCGATCATTTTGGATGATTTTCAATCTGGGTTTGTTCGAATTTGAGTTTAAATTATGTTTTTCAGTTAGAATTGCGCTGCGGAAGAATCCTGTTGTGAGGGATCGGCTTTTCACGGCGGTTTTAGCTGGTGCTTTTGCCCATGGCTTTTACCTGGTGTATCCTTTTATCTCTTGCATTTGCTTTGATCATTGTTCATATCATTGCAATGCGAATTCTTGATCTGAGATTTCAATGTTTGTCTGTTTGGTCGTTGTTGATCTGAGAATTGTGTCTCATCATCATTTAGCATAGAGTTTGAAATGAAATGGAGTAGTATTGCGGATTTGTTGATTTCGATTGATCTGCGCGATTAGTACTGATTCTGGCTTCATGCAAGCTAGTTGCAACCTACAATCCGAACTAGGGATAGGTTTTGGAGTTAGCTTATCCTTGCAAGGTCACGACCCTTTGTCCCAGCCATTGTAGCATTAGGGACGGGTTTTTGGAGTTAGCTCACCCTCGTAGGGTCACGACCCTTTGTTCCAGTCATTGTAGCATTAAGGACGGTTTTTTTGGAGTTAGCTCACCCTTGCAGGGTCATGACCCTTTGTCCCAGCCATTGTAGCATTAGGGACAGGTTTTTGGAGTTAGCTCACCTTCACAGGGTCACGATTCTTTGTCCCAGCCATTGTAGCATTAGGGACAGGTTTTCGGAGTTAGCTCACCCATGCAAGGTCACAACCCTTTGTCTCATCCATTGTAGCATTAGGGACGGGTTTTTGGAGTTAGCTCACCTTTGCAAGGTCACGACCTTTTGTCCCCACCGTTGTAGCATTAGGGACAGGTTTTTGGAGTTAGCTTACCCTCGCAGGGTCACGACCCTTTTTGGAGTTAGCTCACCCTCACAGGGTCACGACTCTTTGTCCCAACCATTGTTGCATTAGGGACAGGTTTTTGGAGTTAGCTCACCCATGCAGGCTTACGACCCTTTGTCCCCGCAATTCTAGCATTAGGGACAAGTTTGTCCCTAATTTTTGGAGTAAGCTCACCCATGCAAGGTCCCGACTCTGTCCCAACCATTAGTCCCAGCCATTATAGCATGTGCTTTCTCACCAATCTTTGAGCTTCTGAGTGTATGGGCTGTTGGAAAAGCCATCAATGCATATTACCATTGGATGAGCATCTAGGTCATACAAGGGCAAATGTGTAGAAATTAGACAGATGGGGTTAGAAAGAAGAAGAGAGTCGAGAGGCGCTTAATCGTGGAGAATGTGGTTACTACTAGGCATGATTGTTTAGTGTCTCGAGACCTAAGTGATAGCTCTCGAGACGTGTTCATTGGTGTTTTAAGAGAATCTCCACGGTTATTGCTCATCATCAAATAGTTACATCCCGTGTGCAAGTTATAACGCTTCTCTTTACCAAAGACATTTAGTTATGTTTTATAGCCAAAAGTCATCCCGAACTTGAGCTCGGGAAAAGGATTATTTGGAGCTTTGTGCATTTGGTTCTTACAATCTCATTAGGCAACGAGTTGCGTGGAAACGCTTGTAAATACTCGAGCATTGGTCTTTGCTTGTCACAAAACTTCTCTGAAAGACATACGGTGGTAGTTTTGAAATTTGGTTTAGAATTCAAACGCTCATAAAATAAAAGCTATTCCATTTGCATTGTCATTCATTTTTATGTATAATATGCGAGTTCCTTGACGTTTGGATGATCAGAACTGATATCTACGACGCCGAGAGCAAGTGATACTTGGATACCCATAATTCTTAGTATCATAGCTTACTCTAATGGTAATAAATACGGTACATTATCGATGGATGCCCTTTGTTTACTCAGTCTCTGAGCACTCTGCCTTTGAAAATTTTGTGTATTACTTGCTACACTTCATTATTGTTCAAATCAATTAATGCTTTCCTTTTTCTTCATTTTTGTATTACCTGTCTTCATGCATATAGTATATTACGTATTACAACTCCCATGCAAACAAGATATGTTCTTTAGAACATAACTAATGAGAGAGAAGAAGAATCATTGTCTCTCTTCCTATGGACTCAACTATCAACGTAATAACCATATATATATATTTTTTTTTGCAAAAGGTGCGATCTCATGTTGGTTAGGGAGGAGAACGAAACATTCTTTATAAGGATGTGGAAACCTCTCTTAGAAGACGCGTTCTAAAATCTTTGTGGGGAATCTCAAAAGGGAAAGTCAAAAGAGGACAATATTGGCTAGCGGTGAGCTGGGGCTGTCATAGATGGTATCAGAGCCAGACACTAGGCGGTGTGCTAGCGAGGACGCTGAGCCCTGAAGGGAGGTGGATATTGGATGGTGTGCCAGTGAGGACGCTTGATCCCGAAAGGGGGCGGACACTGGGCGGTGTGCCATTGAGGACGCTTGGCCCCGAAGGGGGGGTGGATTGTGAGATCCCATATCGATTGAAGAGGAACGAGTGCCAGCGAGGACGCTGGATCTCGAAGGGGGATGGATTGTGAGATTTCATATCTGTTGGAGAGGAGAGCGAAACATTTTTTTATAAGGGTGTGAAAATCTCTTCCTAACATACACGTTTTATGAATCTTGTGGGAAAACTCGAAAGAAAAAGCTTAAATAGGACAATATTTGCCAGCGGGACGATTACAAATCAACCTTTTTTATCATTAATTGTGCCCACTTCTTTTGGTAGGTCCCTAGAAAGATGCTTAAAAACCTCTTTCTCTTCCACTTTTTTAGCCTACTTGGTGAGCTAGCGTTGGCAATGTGTCACGCACACCATGTTTGATGAGTTGTGTATGGAAAAAGTGCCATATCCTCATGACACTTTGTGTTGGATTCTCTTTGTTGCACTTTGCCCACAATCTTCCTCGTGTATTCCTTGTGCCTTCACAAGCCCTACCATTTAACTCTTCCCTCTATTTAAACCCCTTTCTCTCATTCTTTATCAATAACTCAATCCAAATTGCTATCACTTATCCTCTCTCTCAACATGGCTCTCGTTTCTAAGTCCATTGATTCAACGATGAAGAATCGTGTGTATGGAGACGTCGAACATAGACAATTTTTTGCTTCAACGTTTGTCTTAGGACAAGAAGGAGATGATGACGACGATGATGATGGAAGCTACGACTATGCTCCAGCAGCATGAGTCTGTAGCTGTCGAGCTTAAGAATAGATGTCGACATGATCATTAGAGAGACACTTAAATTTTAAATAGTTTCTTCGTTGTATGTGTCCATTTGTACATGTACGTGTCATATTTGACACATACAATACAATGTGTAATTTGTCCTTTCATGTTCTCAAGAGTCTTTTCCTTGTCAAGTGCTTTATAGTATGCTTTCAAATGTATTTTGAGGTGAGCATATTCCTTCACCACTTCAACCATCAATGGGGGTATATCTCATTTTCACTTATGAATATTCTTTGGGGTTCGGTGAGACGTTGGCATACTGCCTGGTATCTAACTTTGATATCATTAGTAACAGTTCAAGTCCATCGCTAGCAAATATTGTTTGTTTAGTTCGTTACGTATCGTTGTCAGCCTCACAATTTTAAAACGTGTCTAGAGAATTTTTCACACCTTTATAAGTAATGTTTCGTTCTCCTCTCCACGTGAGATCTCACATTTTTTATCTACTAGCATAAATTTAAAAGTTTGGAATCCTACGAGACACTTGAATTGAAACTTTTAAAAGTGGTTAATGTTTACTAATGTAACACCCTAAGCCCCAATATGACCACGTTATCTATTTAATATAAGTAATAACTATCAACTATTTTAATCAATTCTTAACCATCATATTTTCAACATCATTCTCATTCGGATGCGGTCTTGGTTCATTAATTTACCCTTCTTTTATTCAGGCGTCGCATACCCACCTACTTTTGCTTTGATTCGTCCCTGAGTGTTATTAACTAGGAAACATCAAGACATATGGACCATCTCGATGGGGATCGAGATGACAAGATGAGATGCGACGTTGCATTGAGAGACCTTGGCCTTGAGCAGAGGTAAGGTCGAGCCGAATGACTTGGCCTAGTGTAGAGGCAAATCGATTGTGTCGCAGATGATTGAACATGCATGCGCAGACGGCGTGTGTGGTTGAGTAAGCTTGGATTCCGCACAAGTGATGTTCGATTGACGAAGACAAACCTCGCCTAAGGTCCAGCAAAGCCGCAAGTCGATTGTGTCACAGACGATTGAACATGCACGCGCAGACGGCGTATGTGGTCGAGTAAACTTGGATTTCACACAAGCGATGTTCGATTGGCGAAGACAAATCTCGCCAAAGGTCCGACGAAGCCACAAAGTCGAGGTGATCTACGACTTGATTTTTTAACACTTAATAAAATAATCCATGTTGAACTGCGAGGGATACTTTTTACTCTTAAAAGCAGTTCAATATAATAAAATAACATGATCATGTCACAGAAAAAAGGGTATGTCAAGTTATTAAGTGCCAGATATGAATTCCAAATCCGGGTCAAAATCTTAGGCATGTCATTACGTCAAATTTCTACATTATCTAAATTTTATATTTTCTATCCACCACTTGAAAATAACGTAACGTTTATAATTCAACGTTAAATTAAACTAGTTATTCTCAGTTAATTGATATAATTCTCTCTAAATTTTATATTTTCTATCCACCACTTGAAAATGACGTAACGTTTATAATTCAACGTTAAATTAAACTAGTTATTCTCAGTTAATTGATATAATTCTCTCTTTAATTTGAGTTTGTTTTTTGAAAAGTAATGTTTTGAAATCAATATTAAGTCGATAATTTTAAGTCACCACAAGGTTGTGATGAACGAGTAACCATATCAATAAAAATAGTTGTCATCACTTATATACCGTAATCGTAATAGTAACTGTAACCATGATCTTTCTAATATCTGGTCAACGTGAAACTTTGGTTTAATTGCATTCTTAACGATTAATATCTCGAGAAGTATCTCGCATTTTTTTCATTAATTATGCTTAATAGAGATAATCATATATCTAAAAGTGGTTACCATATCTCTTTACTTATAATTTAATATTGACTATTGGGAAGCTAAGGATCGAAATAGTAATGGAACAACTTCCTCATGTAGGTCCCTTGAAAAAGACTAAGAATCTCTTGCTCTTTTTTAGCTCACTTGGTGAACAAACGTTGGCAATGTGTTAAACACACATGTTTGATGTCTTGTCTATGTGAAAAGTGCTACATACATGTGAGAGTTTGTGTTGGACACTTATGGTTGCTCATTATCCACAATCTTCCATGTGTATTCCCTATGCTCCAAAAGCTTACCAATTCCCTTTTCCCTCTATTTAAACCCGTTTAAGTTTCGATTCATAGCTCAATCCAAACCCTCGAACATCTTTCTCTAGATTGATTCCCTCTCTGTCTCTTAACATGGTTCCCATTTCCAAGTCGATAGCTTCAACGATTAACAATGATACCCATGGAGATGTCGAGTATAGACCTTTCACTACTCTAGCACTTGTAGTAAGATGGGAAGGAGATGACGATGACGACGACAATGGAGATTACGACTACGCTCCTGCTGCATGAACCCTAGCTTTTAATGATCAATATAGAGATGTTATGAATTTATGCGTAACTTTTTTTCTCGATATCTTACATTAAGAGTATATGTAATTTGCCTTTCATATTCTTAAGAGTCTATTTGTCAAATACTTTATGATGAGCTTTTAAAGTTGGTATTTAGATGTAACTATGTGCCTTACCTACGTTCTAAGACAAGGAATACATTTCTCATTTTCTTTGGTCTTTAACAATAAGCTAGCAAATCATTAAACGTCTCGACACAATAACATAATCAGTATCATTCATATCGCAAGTCACTAAACTACTATGAGAGCGACTCATCATGACGGTTCACGGTTAAAAAAGAATATAATAGCATAGCAACATACTAAAAAATTAAGTATGGCAATCAGTCCAATGTATATTGTTAAGTGTTGGAATGAATCTCGGAGAGTTAGTTGTAATTAAATTATTGTGTAATTGAGCATCACGTGTATGACTCACACGTTAATAGGAAAGATCAAACTTATTATTGATAGATCTAGAAAACAAAAAAGTACAACGATTAACAACAACAATTAACAAAGAATAGAGATGCAACATTTAACCAAACATGATCGATCAAGTTAAAAGCTTAGGATGATTGCAATTCTTAACAAGGTAATTCTTAACAAGGTAAAATGACTACGGCAACACTTAACAAAGAACAAAGAGCTGAAGACACATTTAACACATTGTGTAAGCCCATCACTAATAGATATTGTTAGCTTTGATCCGTTACGTATCACCGTCAAATTGTGTATCAACCCAAGTCCATCACTAATAGATATGGTCCATTTTGGCCCGTTGCATATTGTTGTCAGCCTCACAATTTTAAAACGAGTCTAGTAGGAGAGAGTTCCATACCTTTATAAGGAATGTTTCATTCCTCTCTCCAACCGATGTGGGATCTCACAATCCACCTCTCTTGAGGGCCCAACATCCTCGTCAGCACACTGCCCGAAGTCTAACTCTGATACCATTCGTATCAATCCAAACCCACCACTGTATTGTTCATCAGCCTCACGGTTTTAAAACTCGTCTACTAGGGAGAGATTTCCACACTTTTATCAGGAATGTTTCGTTCCTCTCTCTGACTGATATGAGATCTTAATGAAATTAAAAGTTTAGATGTTTGATTTTTTTTTGGTGCCTTCGTGCACATAGTATAATACATATTACATCTTACATAACTCCTAAGCAAAGAAGATATGTTCTTTAAAACATAACTAAAGGGATAACAAGAATCTTTGTCTCTTCTTATACACTCAACTATCAACATGAAAACCATATATATTTTTTGGCAAAAGGCATCCAACCAACTCCTTTTGTTCATTAATTGTGCA